ATACTAATATAGATACATTATTTATCAGTTTAAGACTGTGATGAAATTAATTAATTAGCTGAGAGATGAATGATTATAATTTGCATTACATAATTATTATAAGTATATTTTATTTAGTATTTAATAAGCAAATAAATGCAATAGTTTATATGAGACATTTGACACATAAAGATGATTTAAAATCAAATTATTCAAACATCTGTTCTTCATCAAATATTTTAAATTAAATTATTACTAATTAGCTGAGTCATTGTATTATAAAAGTGATTTTGACTTCATTCTTTTTTGGATTGATGTTTGCTTTTCTTATTGATTGAAAGGAATTACAAATATTTATTTCGAAAATTGATTACTCCCACTTCGAGACATCCATTAATATTGAAAATTAGGGATGTTGTTCTTCTAAAAATATATATTAATTCTTTATGCATTTATGAATAATAAATATCTATATGTAAGATATAATAAATTCCTTTTTTATAAGAATTTTTGTTAAGTACTTGCACATCAATTCATTAGAAATTTAATCAAAGCTTAAGTAATCCCAGCATTTGCTTAGTTTCTTACAGCGTTTCTTTCATATCACTCCTTCATGATATTCATACAATTTCAATATTTTTCAAGCAAATTATAAGATTTTTGAAGGATAACACAATCTGTAGAGAATAAAATAAAACCAAGAATTCAATATATTGATGTTGATTATAACATTAATAAATTTGATGTTATTAAAAGAGATGCCTTCATGCTAAAATAATGTGAGATTTATTTGCGAATATCTCGTTATAAAAATTTTATTATGTGTTAATGAGATTATGAATGCTTAATATACTATTTTTTTTGATCTTTTTAAGTTCTTGGTTTTGCTTGATATATCTATTAAGTATATAAAGATTCTAATTTTTCAATGCATTAGTATTAGCATGATGAAATTATCTTCAATACACTTTTAAATGTGGAAATATATCCATATAATTAATTATATCATAGAAAACATCAATTTATCAGTTAGTGTATTTTAGTAAATTTTAAACACAAGATTTTTATTAAAGAATTTTTATTTAAATAACATGAAGGTGAAGAATGCTAACTCTAAAGCACAAGAATTAAACTAAGAAGAGTAAAGACTTAAAAACTTAGGTGCGAAAGTTTGTTTGCAATATGATTTAGAATCATTAAACTTCATAACCTAATTTATCCCACAGTTCTTGGAATATTATGTAAATTCATAAAAGAGAGATAAGTATGCAAACTAATTGCCATTAATATCTCTAACAAATAGTCCAATTAGAAACATCTTAACCAGATTCGATATCAACTTATTATTTCCTGAGAGAATTTGGGAATTTTCAATGACACGTATTTTATGATAAAATTTTATAGCAATCTTTCTTGAACAACTTACTAAACTTGAGGTCTTCACCTAAAATTTACCATAGATATTGTATATGATAAAATTGATTTTAAGAGGAGATTTTGAAATTCAACAAAAACAATCTTATAATTAGGAGTTATCTGAATATCATTTGTATAGATTCACAAAGTTTGAATTATATAGATAAAAATTGCCCTATTCATAAGTTTATATATGCCAGAATCAATTTATACAAGCTGAATCAATTGTATTACAAATAATTCCAAAATAAAAATTTACTCTAAATTAAGAGAATCAACTTTAGACTTTATCATATGTGGATACTATTGTTTTTATATGCTATTAAAATTAGTGGGCCCAAAATTACATTCATGAGTATTTAAATGAATAAGCAAATGATCCTTTTATTTAAAATGAATTCGCTCTATTGTAAGAAAGCAAAAAACCAATTTAAAATAAAGACAGAAATGTCAATCAAAGTTATATTTTACCGAGAAAGTTTAAACTTCTCAATTTTTAAGCAAATTAATTTTAGTTTTGCTCTCAAGTTCAAAGATGGATCAAAAAAATAAATATCACTAATTATGAAAGTCGAATTTAAACATAAAATACGTTCCAATCTTAATACTACTTATTTAAAAAATACTTATTCACTCCAAATTATGATTAATATCAGAATTTACTTAAAAATATTAAGAGTGAAAAATTTTCTATAAATAGTGAATAATTTAAAGCAATTTCTCAAGAAGGTCATACAATTTTGATTGGTAGAAGTGGAACTGGAAAAACGACTATTTCATTGTTGAAATTATTTATCACCGATGCAATATTTATGTTGAGGTAGAATCTTGATCTTTTTAAAGAATCTTATTCTAAAATTAATCTGTAATATAATAAGGAAATTTAATGTGGAATTTAATTGAAAACCTTATTTTTAACATCTAGTCCTTTATTAGCTTAATAGATTAAATAGAAATATGAAAATATGGTTAAAAATGTTGAAGAGAATTTAAGATAAAAGAACAGAGCTTAGAGGATTTCAGAATAGTAAAAAGACAATTTGAATGATAGTACCGTGTAAATCCTAGATTTATTGGGAGAGTAAGAAGAAAATGAAAGTTAATTTTAGATTGATGACGAAAATGAAAATGAAGAGGATGTTGATCAATATGAAAAAGAGATGGGATAATTTTCAACCATTTCAGATATTAAATAGTTTCCTGCCTTTCTTACAATAAGAAAATTACTATTTCTGATTGATTCTTAACTATAGAACCCCTTTTTTAAAAATATAGAATAGATTCACAGATAAGCCTAATGGCATAATGAATAGTTTGGAGTTCTATCATTGAATTAGAATGTCACTAATAATTTTTCAGAGAAATTAGAATCCGAAGTTCATGATCTCGACTCCAAAGAAATAATATACCATAATAATAAATTAAAGGAAGTTACTTTGGAAAGTTTTAAAGAATTCTTTTGGCCCAAAATCATGTAGGAATTCCACTGGAATGAAAAATCAAACTTTTCAGAACTGGATCCGATGATAATTTGGTCAGAAATCATCACAATTATCAAAGGACATGAATTGTCATATAAATTTCCTAACTTTCATCTTAGCCATGAAGAATATAAGAATAAGTATGGTTATACAAGGTAATCACAACCGGATTAGGTATTTAAACTATTCTTAATATACGAGAAATTAAAATTAAAATATGACTATTATGATATCCTTGATCTGATTAATCATATTAATTACTAATAAGCTTGTTGCTTTGATACCATCGAATATATGCACTATATTATACTTGATGAACTTTAAGATGTTCCAAAGGCTTTGCTAATTTTGCTTACTAGAATGACTCATATCTAATTATTTTTAGCCGGTGACAATGCTTAAAATATTGTTAAAGGTATTGGGATGAAATTCTCAGATATTAAGAGTTGTCTTGAGCAAGAAAATGGTTAATCCTAATTGATTAAAAACAATAAAACTAAGACCTCTCTAATCTAATTATCATACAATTTCAGATCTAGCAATTAAATTTTATAATTAGGTAATACTTTGGTTAAGGCTCTTGAATTATTATTTCCTAATTAACTTGATTCCTTATAAAAAGAGAAATCGAATTAATAAGGACCAAAACCAACTATAATTTAGAGTTGTGAAAATAAGGATCTCTTGAATTATTTGCTAAAACAATATAGAAATAATTAGAGTAATATAGAATTCGGTTGCAATTCAGTGATTATTGTAAAAAATTAAGAATCAAAATTAAAAATTCCAATAGAATTGTAGAATGCAATTATTTTAACTATATATGAAGCAAAAGGTTTAGAATTTGATGATGTTATTTTATTTAACTTTTTCACTGATGTTGATGAAGATGAAAGTTTTATGAGCTTGCTCCAATAACTAGAAATAATCAAAGTCAGAATGGATAAACATGAATGGGAGACTAAATGTATATTAAATTATTCTTATTTTAGCTAATTAAAATACCTATTTAAGTTACAAGGACATTGGTTAATATGAGGTGGAGTTGACAAAGCTATAATACATATAAAATAACCAAAAATCAAAGTAAAATGTTCCCACAAAAAATCAAAACAAAGTCAATCTTTCATTATAACATGAATTAAAATAGCTATATGTGGCTATAACAAGACCAAAAAATAAATTAATAATATTTGATTAATAGTTATAAAATAGAATGTATATTTAGAAGATTTGGGAAGATTTGGACATAGTAGAAATAATTTATGATACTCAATTATAGGAAATCTAAGAATAAAAATTTGTTTTATCATTTTCTATAGATAATAAAACTAATTGGAAGAAATAAGGGTATAGAATGCTCAGGCAAAGTAATTATGATCAGGCTTATAAGTGTTTTATGCTTGCAACTGAAACGGAATTAGCAAAGAAATGCATGGCTTATAATTTAACAACCTAAGCTACACTAAATTCAAATAATATATTATTATTCAATCAAGCAGCGTAGATCTTTGAAGAAATAAATCTAACAAAAAGGGCAGCATCTTGTTACTTCTCAGCAAAAAATTATCAGAAAGCCTTACAATTATATGAATAATTAAATTGCAAAAATGAAATGGCTGAATCTGCTTACTTCATGGGATAATATAAACTTGCAGGTCAACTATTTTCAGAATTAGGAGAAATAAGAAGATCTCTTGAATGCTTTAATAAGTAACAACTCTGGGAAGACTCCTTGGATTAACTTAATTAAAGCAAAGAGTAATTAAAAACAGAAGAAAAATTAATGTTCCTAAGTATTATAATACCAAAATATCTGAGGTCAATAATAGATGATATCGAAAAACAAGAATTATTACAATAGCAAAATGAAGAAATTAGTAATCTTAATAATTAATCTGAATCCTTTTAAGTAGAAAATTCGTTAGTTAATAACAATTAAATTGGATAAAAAAACAATCAAGAAGATGATGTGTAAATTATTAATGCTCAAGATAATTCTCAATCATTTTAAGTTATATTAGATGAATCACTTGATCATCTATCTTTTTATGATCCAGATGATGAATGGATTAAAGTTGACAATAAATCTTTAATCAAATCTATTGCATCTTCAAGTATAGAATCATAATATTCGAATGTCTTATTGATGAATTAACCTACAAATACTCCACTTCTTAAATCTAGATAAAATATTTTTATCAAAAATAATGTAATGTTGCATTTATGTGAAAGATTTTAACAATTTTAAAATGAATTTAAAATACTATTAGAAAATTAAAAAAGTTAAAGTACATTACTGTCATTTAGAAATACAGAAGAGAAAGAGTTAGACCACATGATTAACTTTTTATATGATTTAGAGAACTTTGACATAGAATCTGTTTATTTTGTGTTGGATATCCTAGAGCATTTCAAAAGCTACAAACTTTGTATTTATGTTTGCAATCAGTTTAAATTATCTTAACATTTAGGCAGATATTTAATATCTTTGGCATCCCAATATACTCCGCTTAATAAAAATAAATTTAAATTAGAAAATTGGATTATTGGTAACAACTTAAAAAGAAAGCGTTTATTAGACCAATCAATCCTAGCCTAATTCACATTCAATAACATTCTAGAAGCAATCAATCCAAGTTATTTGCAATTCAAAAATGAAGATATACTCCACTCATCCAATAGTTTTGGAATCGAATGTTATAAATAACTGATAGGATTAGGGTATTGGAGAACTATAATTTATTAATTGAACTATGAAAATGCAGTTAAATTGTGCCAATCTTTTAATAACTATTAAGATTTGGTGATCCTTATTCAAAAAATCAAGGAAAATAGATAGACCAATCAGTTAACCGATGATGAACAATTCTAACTAATTAAAAATAACTACTTCATTTAAGTAGAATAATATTTCTTATCAAATTAATCTAAAAATCAGATAAATATTGATGAAACATTCGAAATTACTATTTAATGTGCTTCCTAAAGAAAATTAACGAAAAATAATATGATAAAATTGATCAATAATTCAAAACTATATTAGAGCAACCTAACAAATTAAGAAAAGCTTAAATAGATAGAATCCATTATCTTATGTATGTTTTGTTGTATGGGAATATTAAAGTTTGAAATGGATTCCTATTCTATCATCATTGATTTAGTTAATTAATAGTAGTATTGTATTAATCAACTTCTTTTTGCTCACCTCAAATCTAACATCATTGAAGCACTCTAATTTTTATTCAAATTTTCATTTACAACTGGAGATATTATGATTGATTATTCTTAATTTTGCATTATTCACATTACATCTAAACTGATCAAAAATGTGAATGATTAAATGATCTTTATTGACATAGCTTATGAATACATCTTAATAACATTTGAAACTTTAGGTAAACTTTTTAAGTCATATTTTTGCAATTTCAAACCAATCGTTAAAATATTTTCAACTATTGAAAATTAATAAGGTCAACAAGAAACAAAAAATATTATTAATTGCTTAAAATAAAGACTCTAATATTAATACGAGAACATCCTTCCAAATCTCACTTTTCATTTGAAAGAAAAAATAGATTATTATTCAAAAATGGTCTATGGAAATCGTCAAAAGAGTCTTGTAGATGTCGTAGATGATCATGAAACTTCAATCTTGCATTTTACAAAGTCTGATGAATTAAGAGCTGTTCATAACTGGCTCTTATAAACGAATTTCAGAATCGATAATATGGATAAGTAAATTAGATATTATTTAAAGAATGAATGCATACTCCTATTTGAATAAGGATTAATAAATTAATAGTAAAAACATGGCTTTTTTATTTTAGCATTAAACTTATTACATTTATAAGATAATATACCATATGCCATATTTACATTACAAAGTATGAAAGAAAAGGAAGAATCAGAATATTATTTAAAATATCTTGAATTTTTAGAGTGTCAGCATTATGATATAATTGAAGATTCATTTGATTGCTTTATTGCTTATAATTAATATTTTGAAGGTTAAATGTACTTAGATGAATGGATGAATCACTTAATCAGAATAGGCATAAATATGATTTTGGCTCAAGAAGGAATAACATAGATCTATATTCCATACAAGTTTTAAGACTTTATATCTTCTAAATTGGAGCTTGATCAACCTCTATTCAAATTATCTAAAATTGAGATTCTCATAGATTATATAGAATAACTATAATATTATATAGAAACATGTAATTCAGAGTATTATGAATATCAATCTAATTTACTTTTAGTAGTCCTTATCTTGAATATAAAGAACCTAACTTATGAATTAAAAGAGAAGTTATTATAAGCGTTTTCGAATGATTCTACTTATCCATTTTATAAAAAAATACACTAATGCCTTAATCAAAAAAATCCAAATTTGTAATAGGAATTAATTAATAAAATGGACGTACTTTTTATCAAAGGATATTTTGAAGAAAAGTTAATCACTTTATAAATTAATTAAAAAGTCTAAAACCTAAACTCTTAAGTTGTATACTAGAATTGTTTAAGTAAATGGGAAGGTTATCTTTAAGAAGCTTAGAAAATCAAAAAGAACGGAATTAATTTATTAAAGAAATGGAGACAATTTAAATCTAAACAAAAAATAATATAACAGATTTAAAATAAATCAAGTCCTTAAGTTTTAAGATTTTATCAATTTAATTAACTTTACTTAAAGGATATTTTATAGTAATTTAATGGAATTCAACATGAGAACCTAATTATCAATATCTATAATTTTTAGGAGTATTTATATTATTTATAATTAGGGAATTATTAAAGTTGAGATAGAACACTTTAAGAGGAGCTGATCTTTAATTTATTATTTAGACCTTAAATAACTCAACAAGTATACTAAGAGAAATAAAGAATGGCAATCTAAGATGTGAAGCTTTTGAAGAACTAAAATTATAATATTCAAGTTGGAGAGATCGTATAAATACATTTGAAAAGAATGAATAAGAGCTTTTAGAAAGAAACAGATAAATTCTCAAATTGAAATGGTAGAAAGTATAAGCAGGAGTGAAGGTACAAAATAAATTTGATTCTAACCTTATTTAAACCGTGGAGGAACGTCCAGATGAAGATTCTTAAGATTGAAAATAATATATAAATATTTAATATTATTAAGAAATGTTTCTAATGATATCAGAGAATTGCTCTCATTATTTGCCTGTTGTCTAGATTATTAAGGCATAAACCCATTATAATTAATGCTATGATAATCAAGGAGTAGCATTAGACTTATAATAATAATCAATACTATTTTATCAAACATATTTTCGATTATGACTCAATTATTTCATGCTCAACTACTAATAAAAGGAGGAATAAATATATAGAGGAACAAAGAAATCTAAATAATTAATTAATTGTAATTTTGATAATTTCAAGATTTTACAAGCATCAAATTATAAATAAACTATTAAGAATTAGTTAGGAAATATATTTAAATATATTGTTATCTTGATAAGAATAGCTTTTGATTTTGAAGCTAGAGTATATAAGTTTTATTATGGATACTTTAGTTATAATTAAAGGTTGTTTGATTGAACCGAATAGTTCGCCCTCTTTAATAACTGATTCAGGATAGAAATTTAGAATAGCGTTTGACTTTCTTTAAATGTCCATCTTTTTCAAAGGGTTTTCAGAGCTTTTTGATTTTCTTATTTTAATTTTGTAATTCTATACTTGTTTATTCATTGCAATATAAAAATATTTTTTGATTTTCTGGAATGTTTTATTGAACATGCTTGCCATTAAGTACTTTCTTCAAAGTTAAAATATTAGATTGTGAATTTTAACAACTGTAATTGGAGGCATGCAGTGACAGCTTAGACGGAATAGGAGAATACATGATGGAGAAGTTGAATTACTATTTAAGTTAATTACAAATATAATAATGGATTGATATGAATGTAAATGAATATTCAAAATATTTTTATTCTTTAGAAAATTGATCTCCTCCCTTTTATAGGGACTTCTAAAAAATTTCAACTCTAATTAGAATTTTCTCTTTTAATTATTGATTAACTCTTTCAAATTCAGATATAAATTTGCGAAATGTTAATAAATATTAGTAATTTCATATCTTAGCAGTTTAATTTCTGCTTGATATCTGGATGTGCCAATGGATTCGAAATTTATCAGAACTTGGATTATATTTGAAGTTTGAGACAAAGAAGGAATTAATAATTTCATTAATTGATTATTAGATTGAGGGAATTTGGTTACTATATATGTTTCTTCTGATATCTCAATTATCAATACAATTCTTTTAGGTAAGTACATGATTTCTAAAATTTTCAGCCCTCAAGCTATATGATTACATTTTTGATGATATTTCTTGGATTGAGTCATGGGTTGTCAAATTTAATACATGTTTAAAATCATAAAGTTAAAACCGAAAACTTTTAAAATCTTTTAAATTCTTTACAATGAAAATTTAGTTAAAATTGCTATTTTTGCAGATTTTTCCTATTCGATTAGTTATTTTTATCAATCTCAGGTTAATATTTAATGATCTAGTGCTAATTTCATTCTACTATACCTCTTCCTTTTGAATAAACAATATTTAAATCATTTATTTTTATTTGACTAAATTTTATCGTTTGCTCTTTAGAATACTATGAAAATCCTACCAATATAGGCCTACCTT